GTGATGGACAGGGAAGCCTGGCGTGCTGCAGTCCATGGGGTTGCAAAGAGTCAGACACCACTGAGCGACTAAACTGAACTGTTTTAAGCCACCCAGCTTGTGGTACTTCTTTGTAGCAGCTCTAGCAAATTAATACAGGTTTCTAGTCAGTTGGTTTTTCCTGAATTATCTGAGTGGGTGCAGTGTAATCATAAGGGTCCTAAAACAGAAGAGGGAAGCAAAAGAGAGGGTTGGAGTGATACAATGTGAGAAGAGTTCTACCTGATTTGCTGGCTTTGAAGACAGAAGAAGGTGCCACCAGCCAGGGAATCAGGGCAGTGTGTAGAAGCTGGGAAAGGCAAGGAGACAGAGTCTTCCTGGAGTCTCCAGAAGGAACCAGCCCTGCAGCACCTTGATTTTAGCCCCTTGAGATCCACGTCAGTTTTTCTACCTCCAAAAGTGCAAGATAATCAGTCTGTATTTTTTTATGTCCTTAAGTTTATAGCAGTTGTGACAGGAGTAAAAAAAAAGGGTGTCAGGTAGTGACAGAGCTGTCCAAAATCTAGTAGTCCCCCCTCATCCATGGGCCATACACCCCAAGTGCCCCGTTGGTAGATGCCCGGAACCCAGGATAGTACTGATCCCTGCAGATATTTACATACTATATATTTCCTGTACTAAGCGGCAGGGAGCCTATACAGTATGGATAAGCTGGGCAAAGAAATGGTTCTCATCCCGGGCAGAACTGATTGGGATGGTGGGAGATTTCATCCCACTGCTCAGAACAGCACGCAGTTTAAACTTACGAATTATTTATTTCTGGAATTTTCCATTTAATGTCTTCAGACTGCAGTTGACTGCTAGTAAACTGGGGAAAGTGAAACCATAGGAAAAGGCAGAAAACTACCTGATTAGAATGATCCAACTGGGAAAAGTGAAACCACAGATAAAGGTGGACAACTACCTGATTAGAATGATTGAACTTGGCACAGGTACAAAGCAGATGGGTCTGTGTTGGTTGGACAGGAGAGGCTGACCTGACCCTGTGGGAATGGGGCAGGGGCCTGACTTATGGAAATATTAATGGTGGCTTCATCAAGAATTACAGTTTTATTGCTTTTAAGAAGAACTACTAATTCAAACTCGGCTAATGAATGTCGCTGTTAAGATTTTTAGAGGATATGAGTGAAAAAAGCTCAGGTTTGCATTGTAATTGTAGTGCACATTGTTGTGTGGAACTGTCAGCCCTTCTCAAGCTAATAGACTTGGGATTGATGGGACTTGACTCTGATGTCCAGGTGTGTGATGTCGCCCCTGTCCCACATGGGCCTCATGCGGCCGAGGCCCTTCAGCGGAAGTGGTTTCTTTCTGTCTCCAAAAGCAAAGTCTTAGGAAGACCACTTTTCATCCCCATTCCTCACGGAGGTGTTTGTTAAGTTCAGGAGCAAGAAGGTCCAGCTGAAAAATAGTTCCAGTAACCTATAGCAGGTGTGCCCATGACACAGAGCCCTCCTGTCTGTGGCTCGACACGTGTTTCAGGCAGGGATGGATCTGAGGATTCTTCTGGAAGGAGGACCAGGGGTATGTGAGCTCTTTTCCATCCTATCATCCTTTTGAAAAGTACCAGCTTCCGGTGGCTCAGATGGTAAAGAATCCGATCAAACACTGACCTGGGTTCGATCCCTGGGTTAGGAAGATCCCCTGGAGGAGGGGATGGCAACCCACTCCAGTATTCTTGCCTGGAGAATCCCCATGGACAGAGGAGTCTGGTGGGAGTCCGTGGGGTTGCAAAGAGTCAGACACGACTTAGCGACTAAGCACAGCACACAACAGATACCGGAGGTAAAGGAGAGAAGCACCTGGGAGGCTGGCAGTCCCTCCCAGCTCTGTGGGAATCCGATCCCCACAGACCTGACTTTCTAGTGAGTGGTGGGCCAGGAGGAGCCCCCAGGGCAGGACTGCTGAGCCCTGCCAGCAGTTCCCTGTCTCCCCAGGTGTCCCGGATGTGACCTTTGTGTGAACAGAGTTGGTACCCACATTCCCTAGAGCACATGCTCTGATTATGTGCCCAGGAGTGGAGAAGCTGGCACCCTATGGCAGTGGCATGCATGCCGAGGGCAATGATAGCCCCGTGAGTATGACAGCAGTGTTTGCGTACCCCATGAGTATCCCACAGTGTGGATGTGTTGTGCTTCCCTGGGCCACAGCAGATGCAAAAGGCAGGAGCAGGATTCTAAGCCATTTCACAGGTCAGCACAACACCCTGACCTCAACCTAAAACCTAACATTTATATTTGCAAAGTTAATTGCAAAAGGTCAGGACAAAGGAGATTTGGCTGAGAGTCAGTTCTTGAGAGAAAAACATAGTAGGTGCTAGCAGAGGTCAGTGTGGTTGCTTTAAGAAAGAAAGGAAATGGTGCAGAGTTGGGGAGCATTCTTGAAAACAAGTCCCCATTTAAGGAGAAAATCAGCACATTCTCTCGCCACATCAAGTCACATTGGGACCGTTCTATCTGTGACATATCAATCCATCTTAAAAACAACAGTGACTGACTTGAGACTTACAATGGATTGAGAATCTGTACATTATTTTGATCAAGAGAAGAGAAGACTTAAAAGGGGAGCCAAAGACCTATCTTCAGATATTTGAGAGGGAATTCTTGTACTCTAAAGACCAGGACTAGGAGAAATGGGTAGAAGTTGGTTCGCATCTTTCAGAAGTGTTCAAGCAATTGTCAGGCACTGAAATGGGAGCAAGCCTGCATGGCATCTGTGAACTCTTCATTTCCCACCAAGGAGACTCAGAATAATGACAATACTGGTTACGTTATAAGGCGGTGTGCCAGGGACTTCCATAAGCAGTTTGCAGGCAGTATGCTGCTTGTCCTCACCCCCGAGGTTGGCACTGCGTTTCCATCTTCGTAGCATGAGCAAGGGGTCTGGTGAGAAGAGCGTCATTGCAGTTAGTCCCTGGGCTGCGAAGGACCAAATGATGAGCTCTGCCAAGGGGTCTGGAATGAGCTCTAGACGAGGTGGCCTGAGCTTGCCCTAAGGGATGAGGAGGAACCATGTCGGGATGGAACTGGGTAGCCCCGTCTTCTCAAAATTTAGTCCAGCACCCTCCAGTGCCCCAGCTTGTCCAGGCCACCCTTGTCTCCCGCCTAGACCATTGCAGTGGCCTCCGCCCTGCCCTCCCTGCGGTCTCCATCCACTGTCGGCTCACCGCCACGCGGAGCCAGGGTGGCCTTGGAGAGGCGTGCCCTCCTCTCTCTAAACCCCCCCAGACTGCATCTTATTCAAGCAGGAGGCAGCAGCCTGCCAGGCCTTGCATGACCTCCCCCTGTGGCCTCTCGGGTCCCGCCCTCTCCTGCTCACCCCCTCCCTGGCCACACTTGCTCCCGGCTGCCCTCGGCCCTTGTGTGCTGGAGGCTAGCACATGCCGCCTCCAGGGCCTTTGCACATGCTGTGCACTCTGCCTGCATCTTCTCCCAGAAAGCACAGGGCTCCTGCCTCACTTCCTCCTGGGCGCTGCCCATGGCAGGCCATCCCCCACCTTGGACAAAACAGTGCTAATGCTCGCCTCGCCCCATCCGCCTCGTGCCACTTTGCTTTCCTCTGAAGCACATATTACAGCGTGCCATATTCAGTCTGTGTCTGTAGTATAGAACATGTTATATGGTGGGCTACAGTCCATGGGGTCGCAAAGGGTCCGACATGACTGAGCAGCTAACACTTTCGCCTTCGGTCAGTTTTCATACGCTCTGTTATATTATGTTGTATTCTGTTGTAAGTTGCTCATCAGTTTACCATCTATCCCCAAGATTCAGAGGCAGGCTTTGTTTTGTTCTCTGCCTCATCACCAGCACCTAAGTGTTTCCAAGGGGGATGGCCTCATCAGGTGGGATCTGGCTCCGACTGTTGTGAGAACTGAGTGGTTGTCAGCACTCACCATCCAGACAGCGCTGCTGTGTCAAGTAGCGCGCTCCTGGAATTGCCACTATTGGGGCTCGCAAGAGTGGCACTAGTGGTGAAGAACCCGCCTGCAGCAGGGGAGATGGGGGTTCGGTCCCTGGGTGGGGAAGATCCCCTGGAGGAGGGCATGGCAACCCACTCCAGTATTCTTGCCTGGAGAATCCCATGGACAGAGGAGCCCCGCAGACTACAGTCCACAGGGTCACAAAGAGTCGGACGTGACGGAAGTGACTCAGCGCACACGCATGCATGCCAGGGACCACAGCACAGAGAGTCTCTGGAAGGACATTCAAAGCCCTGTTTGTGTCCTGAGAAACCGTGGATCCTAAACTGCCTCGCTCCTTTCCAGCACCGTAAGGCCAGCAGAGACCTGACAGAATTGGGATCATTGAAGCATTAGGCAGGTAGAGTCATAGTTGAGCACTTTCAGCTGGTGGTCTCAGCAGCTTAGTCACTCTCGAGAGACTTTGTCCATCCCCAGTTGCCTCCTCAAGAGGGACAGTCCCCACTCAGGAGGGCCCGCCACCCTTTGGAAAGCAGGGAGGCCTGGTGTGTTTGGGCCGGGGCTAGGGCGTCCTCCGTTGAGGGCTGTGCCGGTCACCTTTTGCTGCAGTGACGAACAACCCCAGAATCTCAGTGGCATACAACAGCATCGTGCTATGACAGAGCCCAGCAGTGGGGCCATCCCTGTATTTAACCTGCCATTCTCACAGCAGAGAGCAGGAAGAGCGAGAGACAAGCCATAGAGTCACCCAAAGCTTTTGCTGGAATGTGGCCCACTCTGTGTCCATTCATACCTGAACAAAGATGGCCCAAGATAGCAGGATGGAGACGTAGGTTCAATAACAGTCTGACATGGGGAGTGGGGTGCAGAAAGGTTTCTGTGCTGAGAAGACCACTGAACCACTCTACTCAGACAGCTCTGATAGTCTGGAATTGTCTCCAAACCCGACTGCAATGCTGCGTCTGCCTCCTTCCCTCCCACAGCAGGCCCACGATCTGTCTGGAAGGCCCTTTGTCTGCTCACTGTCTTGTCTTTCTCTGGGCAGGTGGGTGGCAGGCCCGTGGAGCCCCTGCTCGGCGACCTGCGAGAAGGGCATCCAGCACCGGGAAGTGACCTGTGTGTACCAGCTGCAGAATGGCACACACGTTGCCACCCGCCCCCTCTACTGCCCGGTGCCCCGGCCGTCGCCAGTGCAGAGCTGCGAGGGCCAGGACTGCCTGTCCATCTGGGAGGCGTCAGAGTGGTCACAGGTGGGTGCCTGGGCTGCCCTGGGGCCTTGTCTGCAGGGACCCCAAATGGCCCCTTTCCCTCCGTGCTGTTTGTGACACATCCCCAGGAATATCCTCACCAGACCCTGCCAGCTCAAAGCCATGTTCTGGGTCACATACTCTCAAATTCCATCTGATATTTCAACATGGCCAAAAAACCATGGATAGTGTATTTTTGTTAACATACTTCACAATACTGTTTGGTTTGTTTGTTGTGAGAATTCTCTTGTAAATATAGATGGAGGGATGGATAGTTGGATGGATAGGAGATGGGTAGGTGGGTAGACAAACAGATACCTTTTCATCTCTTTTGCGCACTCTGGAACTGTAGGGTGGTCAGGTTGGGAAAGTGGTTCCAGAGGCTCCCCTTCAGCTCCATGGCAGTCTTGGTGGAGCTACCTTTGCAAGAGGCAGGCGGATGCTGGGAAAGACAGCATCCTACAGCTGTGTGAGTAGGAGTCACAAGTCTCATGCCATGTGACATTTTGGAAAGAGGTCAATTAAGCCTTAAGTTTTAACTTTGAAGACTGATCCTGGAGATATTTTATCTTTGGTAATATCCTTCTTCAAGGCTTTGCAGTGAACTTGCATTAATGATTTTGATTGTTTGGCTGTAAAACAAACAAACAAAAAAATAGCTGAATAAAGGGCAAGCTTCCCTGAGGTCTTCCATCAGACGTGTTCTAGAAAAGTCAGAAAGGCTAAATCCAAGACACTCTTCAGTGTGGAAAGTATTTTTAAAGTTCCTTTCTTTTGCCAAACAGTTGGAATTATTTTGAATAAGAAAGTATTCAGCCCATTTTTAATGAAGGAAAAGTCTGCCCTTGGGTGACTGAGTTTACTTTTTAGGCAGATCATGACATGTACCTGTTTAAAGAGGAGAGATATTTTAGGGAAAGGACAGTTTAAATTTTTAAAATTTTTTCTCTTTACATGTACCTAGGTTGAGAAGTTTAACATTCAGTGCCCTTTTAGGGAGGGTAGTTGGAAAGCTAGGGGCAGGTGTATAGTCTCTCTCCCTTGCCATGAGCCTTAGGGCCTTGATCACCTGATACTTGATCCAAATAAGATTTATGTTTTAATCAGACAAAAATCATAAATTTTCCACCTATGGGACTCTTACAGGGAAAAGAAAAAATGCCTCTTACCAAAATAAACAAGCCTGACATAACCAACTGTCATTATAGTATTGAAGAGCACTGTTTTGGAAAGTCTGAGGCGGTTGGAGCAAGATTTTTAAAACGTCTCCATCTCTGTTTCTGTATCTGTGTGTTGCCTGTCGCTAATCCTGAAATAGTATCCACACCAATCAGTCTAATTCTGCCTTAGCCAAGGCTCAAAATGCTTCTTTCTAAACATTTGATGCAGAATCAAATCTTTCCTCCTGAGATGCTCACAAAATTGGTATCCCTACCACTTTACCACATATGGAAGTCCCTCTAACACTTCTTCTGGAAACAAATGGGTTTAAATTTCTAGTGGGTGAGTTTTTATTGCTGGGCTTGCTTGTATTCAGCCGGCAGTGTTGACCACTGGCACCAGGAGTCCCCAGCTGCTTCCCCACTTCTTCAGAATGAGGAACAAATATTAAAAGGAAGAAAAATGTAGCAACTGTCTCCTGTCCTTGACTTCTGGTTCGCACCCCTGGATCAGAAACCAAGAGAGAAACTGAACATCACCCTCCCAGGTCCCTTGCAAGGTGACCCCAGCCTACAGCACCTAAAGGCTTTCCCACCAACAGGCTGCTGGTCAAAGGGGGCCAGGCCAGGATTTGGTCAAGAAGTGGGCTGGGTATTGAGTGTTTGAAATTCAAGGGATGAGGCAAGAAACACAGAGTAGAGGGAGAAAAAGCAGGAACTCGGGCAGAAGTGGTGAGTAGGCCCCTAGGTGCAGAAGGAGCTGGTGGTGTGGGTGCTGGTACCAGAGAGGAGCCTGTGAGGCAGATGGTGAGCATGGAGTTGCTGAAATGGTCAGAGAGCAGCGCCAAACAGAAAAGCAGAAGGCGAGCCCTTTAACGCAATAACCCAGGGTCCCCGGCCCCACGCCTCCTGCCCCAGGAGGCCTGTGCGCAAAGCCCGGCAGGGACTGGCCCCTTGCATCCGAAGTCCCTTTAAAACCCACAGGCAAGAGCAAATGCAGGTACTCTTACAACCCCCACCCTCCAGTGACACCATAATGACCTGTGAAACGTGCATTTCTTCTAAGACAAACCAGTTTAAATTCGTCTCAAAAAAGTAAATAAATAAAACAAGAAAAGGACCTTCAGATGGAGAGCTAGATTGAATTCATAGGAAAAATAAAACTAGATAACATTTTGAGATAAATGTTAATAACAAATATAAAGAACGACATTTGTCCTTTATGTGCATTTTTCCAGTGGACACAGTGGAACTTGTGAAAAGTCAAGTTTGTTGTAGCTCAAGAAAAATCACGATGTACCCTCCCATATTTTTGGTCAATCACGCAAGCGTGAGAACCAAAGTTAGAGTTGCTGAGGCCCCACTCCTGCTTCTGCGGCTGCTGGGTAGCCCCACCCAGCTGTTGGGAGGGAGTCCCCCTCAGGATGTCCCGGGTCTCTTCGTGTCTGTGCATTGGACGAAACCCGGCCTTCAGCCCACCATCTCTGCCGGCTGCGTTTTTGTCTCCGTGGTGGGGACTGGGCTTACCCACACGACGAGCCAGAGGGCGGGCTCCCCAGATTCCCTGGCCAGGTCACCTCTACTTGCTGATCAAGTCAGTTATGTCTCCCAGAGTCAAGGGTCCTCTCTTCCTTGTGCTTTGTGATTTTTTTTTCTCCAAACTCGTTTATTTTTAATTGAAGGAAAATTGCTTCACAATATTGCGTTGGCCTCTGGGATCTGTCAACATGAGTCAGCTACAGGTATACATATGTCCCTCCCTCTTTAAGCTACCCCACCCCCCCCCAACATCACACCCTTTCTCACCCCTCCAGGTAGTTACGGATCCAGGGTTTAAGTCCCCACGTGCTTTGTTTTGAGATGAGTAAGAACTCACTCACTTGTCAGCCAGGCATCAGCCGATCTCCAGCCCAGAGGGCAGGGCTGGGAACTCCCAGGCGGGCTCCACACACCCCCACCAAGGTCTGCCTCATCTGCGCCTTGTCACCTCTCCAGCTCAGTCTCCCATTTCCATGGATCTTGCTGCCTAGGGGTGTGGGGAACTCTGAGGATTCACACATCACTCCTCTGTTTGGGTCCCCTGCCCACACCATCTCTTGCTGTGTTTCCCAGGAAGTAAAATAGCACAGGGAACATTACCCTGTTACCATTCTTGGCATTCACATGAACCCAGGGGCTTGCCAGGCACTTTCTCTGAGAGTCACCAGGGGCTTTGCTGTCCATCTCCTCCACCACCACCCCACCACCCCGCTGAACTGGTGCCTTTACTCCAGAATGGCTCAGGCCAATCACAGGACCTGGAGGCCAGCTGGGAGAAGCTGGGTGGGACCGTGTGCATAAGACTCAGAAAGACCAGGAGCTTTTTAAGGACAGAAAACAGCGTCCTCATCCTTGCATCCTCAGTGCTGGGGCTGATACCTGGTAGGCACTTAACAGGTGTGGATGGACCTGACTGGATTCAGTCTCCGAGTGGTGTCTTGCAGTGTTCTGCCAGTTGTGGTAAAGGGACCCAGAAACGGACGGTGACTTGCACCAACTCCCAAGGAAAATGCGATGCGTCCACCAGGCCGAGAGCCGAGGAGCCCTGTGAGGACTACTCCGGCTGCTATGAGTGGAAAACCGGGAGCTGGTCCAAGGTGAGTACAGCGCCTGCACTTTCATCCCGCCCAGGAAGCAGAGGCGACTCAAGGGGCTCAGTCCTCTCACCGTGGGCCCCAGTTCAACCAGATGGTCCCAGTCTCACCAGGTGAATTCACTTCTCTCCCAACTCCATACCTGCTGGTGACCCCATACGGTGTCCATTCAGAAGGGCCCTGAGAACCCCCAAAGCAGGAAAGAGTGCCAAGGGGACCCATGCATCCTGCAGTGGGCTTGGTTACCAGCCATTGAGAGAGCCTCCTCAACGGTTGGGAGTCTGTCCCCAGGCAGACACAGAGGCCCCATGGGCAGACAGAGTGCCATTGTCCCCAGGGTCCTTGGGCAAGGGCCGGACGATGTTTGAGGGGAAAGTACAGGGCCCTGGGGTGAGGAAAGGAGGCCATCTCCCAGAGCCTCGGGCAGGGGAGTTCAACAGCGTTCAAGTGAATGAAAGTTCCCTGCTAGTTATTCCTGTATTTGTTCATCTGATATCCTTGCCCCATACCCAAGGTGGATACCATTGTCACCCCGAGAACCAACCATGAGTGTTCTGGAGTCTTCTTCCAAATGCTGTAATATTCCTCCTGTCTGATTTTCTGATGAAAGTTTACAGTGAGAACCTGGAGCGCGTTTGTTCCCTTTTGGTCTCAGTAACTGGAAGCTCCCCATTTGCTTCCATTGATATCCGTGCTCAAAGGCCGTACACTAGTGGGAACAGTTTAGAATTGATGACTAACAGTTTAAAAAATGGGAAATTTCACCTGGAAATCTGGATTTGGGCCTTTCTACAAAAACCTGGCAACCTGGCCTCCATCTGCACATGGCCTTCATAACCTGGCACCCAGCAGGGGCTGTTGTGTCTCCCTAGGTTCCTCCAGACACTTTGGGCTTTAATTTACCTGTCTGGCCAGGCAGAATAGCGTTGTCTGGACTCCATATGTCCAGGTGTGAATTAGAATAAAGCTACCGTTATTCGAAGGGTCTTTGTGGTCACATCCTGAATGCAGGCTGTATCGCTAAAGGGCGACTCCTGTGGTCACGGGCATCCCTGGGCAGGAGGAGAGGTGAGGAGGGATCAGCTGGGCCTTGGGGGTCCGGGGCCCCAGCCTTGGTTCCTCTGTACAGTGACCCGTCTGCCAGCAGCTCTCTCCCATGCTGATCCCAGCATAACAGAAGAAGGGGCAGAGGTGCAGAGAGGTTAAGCAACTTGGCCCCAGCTCTCTGACAGAGTCCAGGCTCCTGAGCCCCAGTTCAGAGCTCTATCCACCGGGTGGACACACGGTGGGGTCCCGAATCTCTGTGGTGGGTGCTCTGTGGATGGGCCTTGCCAGAGCTTCTGATCACTCTGGATTTGAGGACCAGGTGGACATTTTGTTTTCCTGAGCGCCATAAGCTCCCTGGTCCTGGGAGCAGCAGAATGTCCAAGGATGGATGTAAAGAATGCCAAGGAGCTCAGCGCAACACTTGGCCCCTCCTTGGCCAAGGACATGGGCACACATTCTGGCAAACTGGCCCCCCCACAGAGCCCACTGCGCATGGCTTCCAGGGAAGTAGAGTCTTCAGCTGGCCTTCACCTCCCTAGCCTGGCCATGAAGCATAACACCTCCTGGCCTTCCGGACGCTAAGGTATTAGGAGGCTGCAGTGCCTACTTTCTGCCACAGCCAGCTTGATCAGCTGTCTCGGGCGGTGAGAACAAGAGAGACCAAGGGGATGTGCAGGGCCTCTGTCCAGGGCTGGCATCCAGTGGCTTCCGATTGGTATGCATCCAGCCTCTGGGGCAAGCCCTGGACTGGTGCCAGCCAATCCCTCCCCAGCAGGTCTGGCCAGAGCCAGGGCCCAGGGCAGCCTCGTTCTTCCCAGCTGAGAAGTATAGGGACGCTGAGCTGGAAGGTAGCGTGTGTGTGTATGTGTGTGCACGTGTGTGCACACACTGGAAACAAGGCTTGGTGGGGATGGCGACTGCATAGAACTGAACCAGGAGACCCCCACCCCGACACTCTGCTCACCCCTGCCCCCTTCTGCAGCTGCCACCACTGAGTGTGCTGGCATACGCCCCCCACCCCATCCCTGCAGAGGAGAAGAGATCCGCCTATTGCTTCCCTGTGTCTGCTCTGGAGACGCAGGAAGGATACGAGTCCCATGGGGCCCTTATTCTCACTCACCAGGTGACCGCACTGATGGAAGCAGATTCCAGGGGATGATGGTCCCCTAACATTGTCACTTGTTCAGCCTGGATTTGCTTTCTGATTGATATGTTATTGTTGAAGTGAAATTGTTCAGTCGTGTCCGACTCTGCGACCCCATGGACTGTAGCCTACCAGGTTCCTCAACCCATGGGATATTTCCAGGCAAGAGTACTGGAGTGGGTTGCCATTTCCTTGTCCAGGGGATCGTCCCAACCCAGGGATTAAACCCAGGTCTCCTGCATAGCACGCAGATGCTTTACCATCTGAGCCATCATACAATTGGAATCTGATGCACTTTCAATCCAGTCATTGGGGGTGACCCTCCTCTAGCTGGCATCCAGACCTCCCACATGCCAGACTTTGAAGGCAGCAAACAAGTTGCCCAGCAGGAAAGTAAAAAGAAGCCCGAGCACTGTTAGACCCCGGTGCAGTGTATCTGGATGCTCTGACATCTTCCGTCCAAGCAGCCTCCTATCACTTGACCCAGAGGTGCTGCTGAGAAAGATGAGCCTGTCTCCAGGGAGGTGATGGACAAGCCAACCCAAGGACAAACTGCAGGTGCCATCCTGCACTTCCTGAAGTGAGCAGGACCAAGCTTCCCTTCCTCCAGCTGGTAGACTGGGCCTGAGATCTGCACCCAGAGCCTGGCTGAGGCAGGGCAGGCCTGGAGGGCATTCGGGGCCCCTTTCCCTCCCCCATCTTCAGCAAACGGCTGAACCCTAACTGGAGACCTATCCAGAAACCTGCTTCACTTTCCCAGCCCTGCAGAGGGCATGGCTACTGCTGTGCTCTGCCTGCCCTCCTGGGATAGAAGCTGTTGCCAGATCTGTGGGAATCATTGTTTTCTCCCACTAAATGCTGGGCCTAAGTATTCAGAATGAGGGAGGGGTGGGGGCTGCGGACGAGAGTGCCACTGAAACTGGGAGAGGAGGAAATCACATTTCTTTCTAGAGCAGCGTGACTTTTGATCAAAAGTTGAGATGTTACAGTTTCAAACCACAGGCATTAATCACCACTGAAATGATGGGATTAATCACCACTGAAAAAATTAGACTAAACAAATTACTCTGGAGGGATTATAATAGATGGTGTTTTAATGAAGGGCACTGACTCTTTTAAGAGTATGTTCCCTTTTACCGAAAAGGTCAAAGTGGCCATTGACTTCCTGGTGCCGGCGGAGGTGCCCTGGAAGGGGGCTGGCCTGACTTGAGGCCTTGGGGGAGCCCCAGGTGTGCCGCTCCTGCCTGAGCCCCAGCATGTCCCAGAGGCCGTAGGAGACCAAATGAAGCCGTAAAAACACATGTGCCTGCAGCCGCAGAGCCCCGGGAAGAAGTCAGGGAAAGCCTCTCATTCAAACTGGGCTGTGTCGGTGCCTTCCCAGAACAGCAGTAAGATAACCTTCTGCAGTTGTGGGCAGAGGGATGGGAGCTTGAGTTCCATGGCCTTAGAAAGACAGACCTTGTGTCATGAGGGGGCTTGTTCCAGAAAGCTTTTCACCACTTCTGAAGCCTGCACTTCCTGTGCTGGGGCTGACGGCTCCCCCAACCCTGCAAGCGTGGCCTGAGGGGCCAGTGGGACACCCACTTGCTGGAGGCCTGCAGCCAAGTTCACTGTGATTCAGCCAGCATTTCCTGAGCCCCTGCTGTGCACCAGTCTGTGCTGGACACCGAGGGGACAAGATGGACAGTGCCCAGGAGATACAGGAGACAGAGAGCCAGCTACAGATGCTAGGCCACACCGAGTCCCCTGGCAGGTATGAACACAGCTCCTGCCGGGGGGCAGCCCTGAATGGAGTGCTGGTGGAGAGTGGTGCTACTTCTGCTGGGATCACTGACCGTGGTCCTGACACTCACCGGGTCTCTAGAATTTACAAAGCATTTGCACATTCTCTCATTTGACCATATCCCCATTTTACAGGTGAAGAAACTGAGGCTCAGAGTGGTGATACGAGATTTTTTCATGAGGTCACATAACTAGAAAATGGCAGGGCTAAGAGTCTGGTCCTTGCCTTCTGGCTCTTAATCCGCCTTTCCTTTAAATGCATAATATTAGAGGCTTGGGTTTTATTTTGAAATGGGAAGGAGATGAACTATTACATGCCTCAGGTCTAAGCAGCATAATCATAAGCTTGTTGTAAAGTCAAGTATTTATCCACTCTCTCTCCAACTCACCAATCAAAACCTGCTCTCCCCAGGGCTTTGTATTAGTCATTTACACTGTAGTATAAATCTGTTGTCTCTATAGGAGATCATGCATGTTGTCTCCCCTTATTTGTAAAATAAACAGTTGAGTCCTAACTAAAAGAAACTTGAACATACAAGACCAGGCATGAGAGGCATTGGAGACACCAGGGCCCTTTTCTTGGATGTGTGAAATGGTATAACACAGACAGCCAGCACTCTGCAAGCAGGTGAAAGTGAAAGAGTTAGTTGCTCAGTCATGTGTGACTCTTTGCGACCCTATGGACTATAGCCCACCAGGCTCCTCTGTCCACGGGCTTCTTCAGGCAGGAATACTGGAGCGGGTTGCCATGTCCTCCTCCAGGGGATCTTCTCAACCCAGGGATCAAACTGGAATCCCTTAACATCTCCTACATTGGCAGGTGGGTTCTTTACCACTAGCACCATCTGGGAAGCCCACAAAAGGTAGTTGCTCAGTCATGTCAGACTTTTGGCAACCCCAGGACTGTAGCCCATAAGGCTCCTCTGTCCATGGAATTCTCCAAGCAAGAATACTGGAGGGGTTAGCCATTCCCTTCTCCAAGGGGTCTTCCTGACCCAGGGATCAAACCCAGGTCACCTGCATTGTAGGC